GCTCCTTTCCTCCTTCCTCCCTGACTCCACCCTCCCCTTTTCAAAGGAACAACCATCTGTGGGATGCTGCCTCCGTCACCCACTTGGCCCAGAGAGGATGTCAGCTCCTTATAAATCCTCCAGTAGGATCAGTGCTTTAAAATCATACTGTGTTGTCCAGCTGTCATTGACAGAGAGAACAGGAACATTTGTCCAGGTGTCCCCTTGAGCTCTTTCTCACCCCCACAGCCATTTAAAAGTGTCCCTCAAGGCTGCATTTAAAATATCACCTTACTGGGCCTGGGAGGAGCTTGGTGGGAGCCCCATTCAAGTACCAGCACAACAACAACGAAAAAACAAAGAACCCCTCCAAAACACCTTACTGTTTGGTGTTTGTTATTTACCAAAATTAAATTAAAAACCTATGAACCATTTAAAAAATTTATTTTTATTATGAAAATTTGAAACAGCCTCTCATTAAGTTGCCCAGGCTAGCCTGGAACTTGTGATGCTCCTGCCTTAGCCTCCCCAGTAATTAGGATTGTGGGCATGTGCTCCAGAGCCCAAATTTTCTTTTTTTTTTTTTTTTTCAATACTGAGCATGGAGCCCAGAGCTTCATGCAGGCAAGTGCTAACCTAGGAATCTCTCAAGAGTCTCAAATTGGTATCAACTTTCTTTTCTCAGTCCCCATCCTCCTCCTCATTCCTTGCCTGTTTAGTAAAGGCATGCACTTTTGCTAGTCTCATTAAATTCTGAAAACAACCCTGCAGAGGAGGTTATGATCTAATTCTGCAGATGAAAAGGAGAGGTTGATGTCCAAGTTCTCCCTGGGTGAGGCTGGCGTGGAACCTGGGTTCTTCCCAGGAAAGCTTTGCTTATCTTTGAAAGGGCTCTCTTCTGCTTTTGTCCTTAAGATTCTCCTTTGAACCCTGTGAGAACAATGTCCTAGCCTGTATCTGAACCTTTATTTGGCTAAATGTGCTTGGAATTCGGGGCTTGGGGGATTTTAGATTGTTAATACACGGCAGACCCAGCAATCAAGTACTTGGAGGGGTCTGCAGGAGAGGCGGTGTAGTCACACTGCAAATAGATCCAAGAACTGGTTTTAGGCATCACAGAAATGTGGATGCAGCCTCATGCATGCTAGGCAAGTGCTTTACAACTAAGCCCTCAAGTTCTTTTCTTTTTCTTTCTTTTTTTCTTTTTTCTTTTTTCTTTTTTGTGTGTGTGTGTGTGTGTGGTATTAGGGATTGAACCCAGGGCCTTGTGCATGAAGGTAAGCACTCTACCAACTGAGTTATACCCCCAGCCCTCAAGTTTCTTTTTTAAAACTGAAAGTGAGCTTGGTGCAGTGGTCTAAACCTGTAATCCCAGCGATTCAGGAGGCTGAGGAAGGAGGATTGCAAATTTGAGGCCAGCCTCAGCAATTTAGTGAGGCCCTAAACAACTTAGACCTGTCTCTAAAAAAAAATAAAAATAAAAAAAGGGCTGGGGATATGGCTTAAGCATCCCTGGATTCAATCCCTAGTACTTAAAAAAATAAAAATAAATGAAAGTAAAAGCAAAAAGAAAGGTGGAAGGAAGAATGATGTCCTACTCCCACTTTCCCACCCTTGGAGCAGTAAAAGCTCCCACCAGGGGCTGTCTTCTTGCAGAGGCATCTCAAATTCTGGCCCTCAGTCCCACCTACGGAGGGTGGCTACGAGTGGTGACACAGTGGCCGTAGGTGTGCCAAGTTTTACATCTTTAAAGGAAGGCAAGCTCTAGTGCAGTACTTCTGACCCTTGTCAACTGGTTTATCACAGTGTGCCCCACACTGTATGGGGAGGCATCCATTTTTGGCTTTCATTATGATGGTAAGAGCGGCATTCCTAAAAGTCTTGTTTTGGTACTGGGGAGTGAACCAGGGTACTGGGGTGCTCCACCACTGAGCCACATCCTCAGGCCATTTTATATATATTTATTTGCTTGGGTCCTCGTTAAATTGCTGCAGTTCCCGAGTTGCTGGGATTACAGGCCTGTGCCACCACACCACACTCAGTAGGAGCTTTTAGCTATTTTCTTTGCTTGCTTTTTTTTTTTTTTTTTTGTATTGGGGATGGAAGTCACGACCTTGCCTGTGTTAGGTAAGAGCTCTACTCTGGATCTACTTCCCTCACCCCCTCAGGCCTGTGTGTACATTTTTTTAAACTCACTTCTCCAACATTCTCTGATCCGCCTTTTCTTTCCCATCCCCTACCCTACCCTCAGGCCACAGTCTGACTTCACAGCAAAATAAATAAAGTGAGCAGTTTTTACCTTGGCCCACTATAATTTGTACTGACAGGAGCGCGGCCTCTTTCTAGGTGCAGCTGGGTGCCAGCTGACTTGATGCAGCTCAGGGTACTGTCTAAAGTTTATCTGGAAGGGCACTCTTTATTCATTAAAGCTACCTAGTGCACAGTTTGCCAATCCTGCCTGCCCCCCCTTTTTTTAACCAGAGATTAAYTTGGAGGCACTTAGCCACTGAGCCAGATTCCCAGACCCCGCCTCCTCCCCCTTTTCCCAAAGTTTGAGACTGGCCAGGTGCAGTGACCGACCCCTGTCATCCCAGCAGGAAGATTATGAGTTCAAAACCAGCCTCAAAAATTTAGAGAGGACCTAAGCAATTTAGCAAGACCATGTCTCTAAATAAATAAAATATTTAAAGAGGCTGAGGATGTGACTTAATGGTTAAATGCCACTGGGTTCAATTCCCAGTACCAAAAAAAAAAAAAAAAAAAAGGGACTGGGTCTTGCTAAAATGCTTTGGGCCTTACTGAATTGCTGAGGCTGGCTTTGAACTTGATCCTCCTGCCTCAGTCTCCCGAGCTGCTGGGATTACAAGTGTCCACCACAGCTCCCAGCTCCAATCCCATTTTATTTTATTTTATTGGCGGGGGGGGGGGTACTAGGGATTGAACTCAGGGGCACTCAACCACTGAGCCACACGCCCAGCCCTATTTTGTATTTTATTTAGAAACAGGGTCTCACTGAGTTGCTTAGCACCTCACCATTGCTGAGGCTGGCTTTGAACCTGTGATCCTCCTGTCTCAGCTTCCTGAGTCGCTAGGATTATAGGCCTTTGCCACTGCACCCGGCTTCCAATCCTATTTTAAAACAAAATACATGTTTTTATGTAATGCAAAAAAAAACCAAAACCAAGTACATGTATAAAGACATGATTTGGTGTGAACATACTTTATACAAAGATATGAAAAATTGTGCTCTATGTGCGTAATAAGAAATTGTAGTACATTCTGCTGTCGTGTATTTAAAAAAATACAATCAATTTAAAAAGTGATATAGAAATGCATGTTTTTATGCCACAGTTTCAACACAAATGATAACAGAAATACATGCAACAGAGCTTAAATTATAGAATAAAATGGGGCTGGGGGTGTAGCTCAGTGGCAAAGCCCTTGCCTAGAGTTCACCGAGGCCCTGGGTTTGATTCCCCRGTCCCCTTCAAAAATAAAACGAAAACAAACCCCCACAACCTGATGTGTAGTTAGACAGATATACTAGTAAACTACAGACATAAATAGTTAAAGAACTAGATGTTTTTATGACCTAAACACAGCACTGCCTCCTGGTGTGGACTACAGCCTAGTTTTCAAAAGGAATCGTAAAAAGTAAAGGCAATAAAATATGATTTTATTTATTATTTTATTTTTCAATTTCTATCATTGCAGGTCAAAGATTTTATTAAATAATAACTTTGAGAAAAAGCAACTATAAACACTGCAAACCTACTAAACCAGTAGATATCAAGATATTGTGTGTGGTAGTTGGGGCTGACCCTGCTCATGATTACAACTGCTCCATTACTGTGGCTTAGGTCCAAAGGGACCCCAGTAGGTCAAAGCTCAGGTTCAGGAAATTCAGGAAAAACTCCGAGGGAAGTAGAACTAGTCTGTGGATTGAAATTAGCAATAAAAGATTGGAAAAAGGATCACAGGGAAGTGAATAATTTTGGCGGTCTCTGCTCCATGGTTCAGCCCTTTTGCAGTTTCTGATAACCTTGTCAGGTCCCCCAGATAAAGGCAAGTCTTGTCACCCTTGGGCACCTGGCTGAGAGGTAATAAAACGGTTGCCTTATCTCCTAAGGGTGGAGTTAAGTCAAACCTCAGCCTGGGTAATTACAGTACCCAGGAATTGCCAGTCCCTCTCCAAAAAAGAGTGGGGGGAAGGGAGGCTAGAAAAAGCCAGAAGGCAGGAAATTGTGTTTGTCTCTCTTCTAGGATTTAAAAAAGAAAGCAAGCAGAACAGCAAAAAGTTTTCTAAGGAGTGAGAAAAACAGTTGGGCTAGCCTCCCTTCCTCTGGGGTTAACAGGATTGCCCACAGATCTGGCCCACGTGATGGTCAAGAAAAGAGGCTCCAGCTGAGGAAAACCCAGGAAATCTTCTTAGGAACCTTCCTTTCTAAATGTAAATGACTGAGTCATTGCTTTGCTAMGGAGGAGAGGAAGTTGCAATCACCCAGTGACTCACTTGCTGCTGTGAGCTCAGGCAGTTGGATAAAAAGTTTTTAGCAAAAGCGGCAACAAATCTGCTTTAAATACTAGCCCAGTGAGGGAATTCCTCTCTTTCGGGATGAATGCCATCCACACAAAAGAGCTCCTGTTGACATCTCTTTTACAATCTCCCCCAGGACACAGACAAGACCTTTTCAATAAACCCGGCTCAGAAACACCTATTATTCAAAATCTTCCTCTAGCAACAGGCTTTCACCACTCCCTACGGCTTTGCAAAAGAAAAGATTTAGATGGAGAAGGATTGGGACTAGGGAAGCTGTGGAAAGAGGCAGGAAGACGTCCCTTTGACCTGGTGTGGTCTGAGAGTGTGCAAGAAGAAGAAAGTTAATGGTCTTTCCATTTTTCTAAGTGTCCAAGAAACGCCAGTGACTGTCTTGGACCAGTGACTGTGGATTCTAAACTGGATGCCAACTAGGTAAAGAAAGTAACTCCTGCCAACAGGATTGCTCAATGAAAAACCCAGGCCGAACTGAACCTATTCCCAGCCTTACAAAAGCCTTGATAGCAGCCCTGGGAAAGCACAGGTAAGTCTTTGATCTGAGCTGTTTGTTCCTGTAGAATCTTCTAGCTCAGCTCTCAGCCCACTCTGGTCCGCCGAATTCCTCTCCATCATTTCCACAAGGTGACTCCCTCTCTGAATAACACTGGATTATTTTCTGGAATTATATAATACTGCTCTTGGAATAGGCCTCAGATTAAGGAATCTATTTGAGTTTACCAAAAAAGTGAAGGAAAGGAAGGGCATTTTAAAAATACTCATTATCTTTACCCTCCTAATAGATGGTCAGTCAACCTTTATCTCTGATTCCTTGGGTCTTTCTCTCCTATCTCTTAAGCCCCTCTGGAATCATTCCCTAACCTCTTTGTACCTTTCTCTGACCCTAGATCCTACTGTGCATCATCTCCTGTCTCTGGTGTCCCGGTAACTCCCTAACTCCAACTTTCTCCATCTTCGGAGCTGTGACCTATTCATGAGTCATGACATCAACTGAGGTGAGTCAAACCGCTTCACCATGTAGAAAACGAAAATGATTCAAYCGGAAACATTAGCATGCACCGTGTAGGAAAAGTACTGTTATGTGTACCCAGAGTGGGCAACAGGAAGAAACGCAGTTTGTTGGTCAAAATATCTGGAGAAATACCTTTCTCATTGTTCTCACTGGGTCGACCTTGAACCTGCTTCCAAACCCTTGTAGACAATCAGAGTAATAGTTGGGACCGCTTCACAGATCTGTCACTCCAGCTTGCTTGCCTTCCCCCAGGAGAAAGTCTCCCATCTGGGCCTTAGGGGATTCTTGCTAACCTGGTTCCTCTTCTCCTTCCTGGGCACTTTTAAAAAGTTATTCAGTCTACCACATTCCCTGGCTGTGCACCTGTTCCCTCTGCAGGGACATTCTTTCCTTTTCTTTCTATTTTGAAATCACCTTAGGTATCATCGGGATCATCCTTCTGGATGCCTCTTCTAGTTCTTACAAGGCTGAACTTCACCTGACAGAGCGCTTGCTACATGGTGGTTGTCTTCCCAGTTCCCGACAGCACTCTCAGCTCCGCGGGGGCCTTCAGTAAATATCTGTTGTGCATCCAGTGCTGCATGTCCTACCTACACAGTTCACATCTCCTTGCGACAGATCAATCTGGATAGTTCATTAGAAAGTATCTTAGCCAGGTGCACAGGCCTGTCATCCCAGCGGCTCAGGAGGCTGAGGCAGGAGGATTGCAAATTCAAAGCCAGCCTCAGCAACTTAGCAAGACCCTAAGCAACTCAGCAAGACTCACTCTCAATGTAAAAAATACAGGCCTGGGGTTGTAGATCAGTGGTAGAGCACTTGCCTAGCATGTGTGAGGCACTAGGTTCAATTCTCAGCACCATATATAAAACAAATCAATAAAGTCTATCAATAACTAATAAAAATATTTTTTAAAAATTACAACAGACAGGGGATGTGGTTCAGTGGTTAAGTTTTCTGGGTTCGATCCCTGTTACAAAGGGAAAAAAAAGTACCTTATTTCTGTTTCTCAAAATTTTAGTTTTTATTTTACACTTCCCCATCATCCCTAGTTTATTTGCGTTTCAAATACAACCTAATTAATTTTGAAATTTACAGAACTCTTAAGAAATCAAAATAATAAGACTAGAAGAAAGCTACTGGACTTCTTGCTGTTCACTTACCCTCCCTTGTCTCAGATCCTTCATATGTAAATGGAAGGTCAGAACTCAATAATCTCTAAAATCCCTTCCAATCTAATACTTTAACCCTCTAACTTGATTTTTCTCCTTGGGAAAGGTTAAACAGCTTTTTAATAGCAGGAAATTATTTGCCTTTCTATGGATTTTTGAAAACAAGCAACACACAGAACCCAAAAAGCTTATCCCGGAAATATTCTCACTGTTGTTTTACCTTTAGATGGAGAGATCTTCAAATTTTATTTATGTGTTTATTTTTGTTTTTGAGACGGGGTCTTATAACATTGCACAGCCTGGCCTGGAACTACAGGTGTTATGGTTTGGATGTGAGGTGTTCCCCGCAAAGCTCATGTGTGAGATAATGGGATTTGGAACTGTGGCTGCCATCTGTGGACCATCGACCTCATCTGGCTTCACGGTAAATCTCATCTCCCTTTGCTTGGTATAGTTCTGTTCTAATGCTCTTGGCTAAAAACTGAACAATTAGCCATCAGGTAGACCTTTGCTTACTACTCTTATCTCTTTGAGTTCAATTATTCTTTCTGGCAAATTCTATTATGCAAGAGATTCTCAGCTGTGGTAGCCCAACTGCCTTCGTTGGTAACATGGTGACTGGTGGGTCTCTGGACCTGCTACCTCCCAATATGGCACCTTGGCATTAGAGGAAAAAAAAAAAAACAACAGAAGGAAGAAGGCTATTTACTTTTCCCTGGTAACATGCAAGGGCATGTCCCCTCTCTGCCTGGCATTCAAAATGTTAAAGAGAAGCCTCACCTAAATGGTTAAGATATTCACTAGTATGTAATCTTTTTTTTTTTAAGAGAGAGAGAGAATTTTAATATTTATTTTTTAGTTTTCGGTGGACACAACATCTTTATTTTTATGTGGTGCTGAGGATCGAGCCCAGCGCCCCGCGCATGCCAGGTGAGCACGCTACCTCTTGAGCCACCCAGTCCTGTCATCTTTCTGGATATTGACAGAACCCAGAACATCTGGTGACCTTCAGGTTACACCAGACTATGCAGCACCCTTCCTCATTCTTTTATCCTGTGCCTCAACTGACACAAAACATGTAAATTGCTGTGACTTTCACCTTGCAGAAAAGTAATGTCTATCTAGAGAACCATAGGAAGCAGCCCCAGGAAGTTCAGGTGCATTGCAATATGCCCGCCTGAGAATAAAGGAGAGACGCACGCACCCTGGATGATGAAGCCCCTGTCTCCTTCTTGCCCATTGGCCCTGCCTCCTTTCCTTCCCTGTGAAAACCCTTTGTACACCTGATCCAGAAAATGGTGCTCTCAGAGTATATGGCCCCCGCACCCATCTTCTCAAGATGCCAGATCCTTAATAAGACCGATTTCTGCTGGGCTTGGTGGTGCATATCTGCAATCCCAGCTGTTTGGGAGGCTGAGGCAGGAGGATCACAAGTTCAAAGCCAGCCTCAGCAAAAAGCAAGGCACTAAGCAACTCAGGGAGACCCTGTCTCTAAATAAAATACAAATACACTGTGTTCAGTGGTTGAGTGCCCCTGAGTTCAGTTCCCAGTAAACCACCCCCACCAAAAAACGAAAACAAACAAACAAAAAAACCCCTTGATTTCCTTCCCACCAACTCACCAATTTACCTCTACCAAGTATTGGCTTTGGAGCATCGAGGAGCCAGAGCTGGGACAAGTAATACCCACCTTTCTTCCCTGAGCTGACCATCGAGTGACTGCAGGTCAAACTCTCCCTTCTCTGAAGACCCTCAGGTGACAGGTATCCTGCCCTATGCTCAGAGGGAAGGGCTGTCACTGAAGCATGCTGTGAAGAATCTGACCCCACCTGGCTAAGCTCCCAGCAGATTTTTAGATCCCACCTTTTGTCCTCCAATCATACTCATGTTCTACCATCATAAAAATACACACATTTCTCATTTTCTTTGGGTCTTCATTTCTGAAGGCTCCCATGTCATGTAAAAGTTATGTGAAATAAATTCTTATGCTTTTCTCCTGTTAATCCGTCTTTGGTTATAAGCTAGTCAGCCAAGAGTTGGGTAAGGAAAAGATAGTACTTTTTCTGCCTTATATCGGAAAAGGAAGGATCTGGAATACTGTCAGAACTGGTGTAAATCCTGACCAGCCACTTTTAAGCCACATGACCTTAGATTATTATTATTTTTTTTT